CCAATTTAGATCTTAGTAAATTTGCTGTTATAACCATGCATTTTGCCTTTTTTGGTGAAATTAACAAGTTTTATTTTAAATTTAAGCGGATCAATACATACGCAAATATTAAAGTTGCTATTGATAAATGTGCTAGTATAAAAGCAGGGTATGGACAATACATGGCAATAAAATAGCTGATGAACTTCAAGAAAAGCATTGGCTACAAAATAGTTCGATCCAGATCTGGCCTTATTCCAAAAGGCAGTGTCTCTAACCGAAAAAATGTTAGAAGCCGAACACAACATCTACTGCTTGAAAATTATACCCGACCAAGCACATGAATTACTGCAAAAAAAGTAGGAATCAGCTCAAAATCAGAATACGATTCTTTACTGGCCATTTTAAAATATATTAGTTTGAATAAGAATAAAATCGGCACTAGAGAGCAATGCAGATGTATATTATGATATTATTACAGTTTCATCAGGACGAATGGAATTGAAGGCAATGACTTCTTTTATGTAACATAAAAAATTGGATCGAAACAAAGGCAAATGTAAAACTGTAGGCAAATGTTAAACTAAAGGCAGCTGTAAAATCTTCTTAAAACTAGTTTATAATATACGACACAAGGTTGGTTATTCTAGTAAATACAAGACAGTAAAAAACTAAAAACTTTTCTTTTTAACACTTCCACAAAATTCATTTTAATTTATTATCACTTGTAACGATAAAACTACCAAAGAGAATTGAAGTACTATTGCAAAAATAATACCTCAATCAACCATGGGAGCTTATCGTCTATACCTTGCCTAGCTCAGTATCTTAAGGGTGAGTTCATCTTGTCTTAAACTGGGGATTGAACCTGAGTTCTCAGTTAAGAGCAAATAAGACAAATTTTAACCAAACATATTTATTTAAAAGAATAAAAAATTACAATTAACCCTGCCAAAGCTTAACAATTGATGTGATACTTATTGCTTCGTTCGATGGGCTGCTTGTGTGTTCCAGCTGCTAGGTCCTCCAATTGAATGTTGTAGGTTGTAGTTCTGGAGAGCTGCAGTTACATGGGGTCTACAGTTACAAGTCCAATAGAAGTCCAACAAAATTGTTAATATTTCCAATAAATCCAAGAAATGAATGCCCAATACAATGGTTATTGAATTATTATTCCCAATAAAACCCAAAAGAATTTGTACACAATAAAATGAGTCTAATAATAATTTTTGCCTTTTTTTATAAATATCAAAAAGAAACAAAAAATAATCCCACCACATTAGAAGCATAAATAAAATTACACCTAGATTGGTAACAGGGATAGGCAAGCAATGTCAAATCACGTTCGGATTTAGCGCCCATACGCCCATTTGTTTGGTGGCGCTGCTAGTTTTTTACGCAGAGGAAGTGTGCTGTGGTCAAATCAAAGTTGAATTTAGACAAATACGGCGCCATATTTGTATTTGTTTTACTTTTTATAATTTATTTTATAGTTTAAATTTTTTTAATAAGTATTGCAAAAAGGTACAATTTTAGACGATTTTTTATTATGGAATCGAACACATTACATGGAATAACAATGTAGAGTCTAAGAACTGAACAAAAAAGATGTATTGCAGATTGCATGGATACTACTGGCAAGCAATACCGTTTTTCAAGTCCAGGAGATTATATGGATATGTTTGATAAATGGGTGAATGCTGTTAAAAGCCCTAATTTTAGAATGCCGCAACAGAAACTATTTATAACAATTTTATATAACCGAGATACCGGTATTACGAGAACAGCCCTTCTGAGTTTGTTTTTACCAGCACCAGGTAAGAACTATTATGAAAATATATGTATGTTTGTGACCTTTTACTTATAAAATTAGTTAATTATAAATTTAACCTAAAATTATATATTATAAAATCAGTCTTACTTGCTTACTATTTGAATTATTTTGTAGGTGGTGGTTCAACAAATATCTTAAAAATCATCACCTTAGAGAGGTGTCGACAGGTTCGACATAATTTCTACAGGTGTGCGTCTTTCAAAGTTGGATTAGATTAGCGGACCATGACTACACTATCATATGGAGAGGTCAATGAGCTTTCCTGTTAAGTGTGAGAAGGGATCTGCCTCTCTCTCTTGTGAGTGAGATTGGTCTTAGAGTACCATATTACCATGGTTTGTCTTATCTATGTACTTTTAATGTTCCGTTTTGTAGAACAACCTAAATCTAAATGTATTTAATATGTCTCTCAATAAATATATAAATATTAGTAGAAAAGAGTTACTGGTAACATAGAGTTTGGAAACAACTTTGTAAAATACCTTATGTTTTTATTGTAACTAGGTAATACTTTAGATATTTTTTTATTTTTAATCTTATTTCTTCCATCTTTATAGTGCTGGATCTTAGAATCTTAGAGCTAACTGTTGGGTTTATAGGTTTAAATATGACTAAAAATATTATCATATAAATGTATATAAAGTTCTTTCTAGAACTAAATTATTTAATTTTTATGTTTCCAACTTAGCAGAGTTCTTGAGTTCTGTTTTTCTGTGAGTAGAACGCCAGACAGTAAGAGTTCTCACTGACCCCTGGTAGTGTGTGTTATTAGATTAGTATGTAAGTACTACAAAGAACTCAGAATGTCTGACAGCTGTCTGTTGCTTATTAGGCTTTAATTTGACATTAGAATTCCAAAATTATTTAATTACTGACAACTTCTTGTCACAACATTTAGAACACTAAATTATACTACATTTATCCATCCTTATTTTTAGCTCCAGCTGATTTACAGCTAGATTGAAAATCTGAATTTTCCAATCTTGGTTCATAATTATCATCAGGTTTTTGAACAAGTACATTTTCTGTCACATCTGGTATTGATTTAGTAGTGGAATTCTCTAATGTGTTATTTGGACTTTCATCTTCATCATTATCGTAATTCAATAATGTAACAATTCAATAGTAAACTTCATATATAGTACAGAGCTCCTGGTAAAGCAGTTTTTCATTTAGTGATGTCTAAATATTTGGTTTTCATTGCTAGATTCACCAATTTCTATATAACTCATAATATCTTTCAACTTAACCATTTCCTTCATGGTTATATGGTGTTGTTCTACTTGAAATATTCCTTTACAGTGTAGATAATTATTAAATTCTTGTGAAGTAATGCTAGCTCTCCTTGTCAGATTTTATATATGAACAAAATAGTGATTTAATCTGTGATTGGTTTGAATTGCTTTCGTACCGGATAATGTCTGCATTTTTTTAATACTTCAACGCATTTGCATTTTTTCAATTGCATGTTTTCATTAAGAATCTGTGAGAGTATATGTGAAAAAAGCAATTGGTTTTCCCCATTGATTGCTTCGCTTATGTAATTATAGACTCAATTTATTACAAGAATGTACTTATCTTTGTCTTCTAGGGATTTATCTTTAGATTCATTGCTTTCTAAAAAAATCTTGAACGTTACATACCAATGTTTAAATTCTTTGCGAATTATGAGAATAAAATTGTAGTAAAAGGCCTTTTGCAGAATTAGGCTTCTATTCACATAAAACTTGATATACTAAGACAAAACAATTATTTAAATACTGACCAGTTCTTGTTACAACATTAAGAAAACTAAATTATAGTACACTTGGCTTGTATTATTAATATTTCTTGTAACACATATAACATTTCTTGTAACATTTTTATAAATAAAGATTTTATTCTATATTTTATTCTTTAATTTTTTTAACCACTTTGGCATTTTAATGTAATGTAAAATAAATATAGTCTCAACATAACAAGAAAACCCAAAAAGTATACGAAAAATATTTATTATCGTATAGGATAAGGATTTTTCTTGTTATTTTAGGATTATATCGATTTTCCTTTACTTTAAAATGAGTTCACAATCCTAGGTAATATTACTAAACTTTTGAATTTCGCGCCATGTATATATATAGTTAGGCGTCCGGTCTGTAGGTGATGCGCCAATCATTGTTTTACTCGTCAACACGGGAGTTTCAATGCTAGGTGGTAGTGTGCTATGATTAGAAGAGTTGTTTTGACAGAAAGTGGGAGACTAAATGAGGTTAGCACAGGACAGATGTCATAAGATATTGCTATTTCATGAAACTAGCTTGTCTGCCAACACAAATCAGAAAGAGAGAGGGCGAATATTTATTCTGCGGGATAAAAAGAGATAGTTAATAAAGACAGAGGAAGAAAACGAAAACAGAGGGCGCCAACTAATTTTTAAATAAAAAATAGTAAAAATTGAACTAAAGATAAAGAAATTAATAAATTAATAAAAAAATTAAAATGAAATAATTATTTAAATATAAATTAATAAAGATGTGACGTTTATAACGTTACACACTACAGCTGTTTCGGCAGAGTGTCTTTCTCACGTGATCTATTTTTGGTAAGCATTTACTAACAAAATACTGACATTAAATGAGATGTAAAAAACTTAAATAATATATGTCAATAAAAGATTGAATTTGAGATTGTCAAAATTGTCAAAATTTAAAAGTCATAAATATCATCCAATTGACAGCAATATTAAATGATCTGTTTAAATTTTTATTTGTTGTTTTAAAATAACATTGTATAAATACAATTATTCTTTTTAAACACCTTATTTAGTTTTTATATAGGAATTAAATTTACTTTCAAGTTATATTTAATTCTATTTTATTATTAATTTAATATTTCATCTGAATTTGACAAGTCTGTCATAAGTAATCAACGTATGCTTTATTAATACGTTACTAGATGGCATTAGAAGCAAAGTAATAATTTATAAATTTTCTTTAATATAACATAACTTGTTTAAAATACAAATTAGAAATAAATAATAAATTACTTTATAAAATTTTATAAATATTATTTAACTTTTAAAAATACAGAAAACATAATACAAAGCTTTGGGCTAGTCTACTGTATCGCCTACTTAAACATCTTTTTTTTGTTTCAGGTTACAATCTTCCATTTCGATATGCCCTACAGCATTTTTTTGATAGGTGGAATGTTCCAGGATAAATTCAGTGAATACCTATCAGACTATGCTGATCTATTGTTCAAACTATATGGGGATAGAGTAAAAACGTGGATTACTATAAACGAACCATATTCAGTCTGCGTCAGTGGCATACGGATTTTAGGTGAACTTAGGCCTAACGGTATAGTAGAATATCTTTGTGGTCACACTTTCCTTAAAGCACATGCAGCAGTTTACGATCTGTATCAGAGGAAATATAAAGCAACACAAAATGGTAAGTTGTAAAAATATTCTTGGATAAACTTTTTATAAAGAAAAAACAAATTTGGATTTACTTACAGAAACATCTTACTTAGTTTAATTTTTTACAATGAACGGTTTTTATTAGTTGTTCAGTCATATTTTGTTTAACTTAAATGTATGTTTTTATTAGTCTTTTTTTATTTCTGTCAATTTTAAAATTTTAATTCATTGTAGGTAAAATAAGTATGGCTTTTAACTTACAATGCAACTATCCCGAAACAGATTCAGCAGAAGATATAGAAGCAGCAGAAAGGGCCAATCAATTTGCAGTAAGAGATTTAAAATATTATCAGTCCACTTAATTAGTACTTTGCTGTTCTTGCAGTCACGAACATGCATCTTCTATTTTTTTCATAAAATATTTATTTTTTTTATTATTGTATGATAAATAGAAATCCTGAAACGTAGATCTCAGAGTGCGTATACGCAGATGATCTTTTGATATTTGAAATTAAATGAAAAAGCGCTTAATCAATATTTACAAGTATGAGATGCTGCACTAATGAAACGAAATTTAAGGATTAATGAAGATAAAATAAAAGTAATGAAAATTACAATAAAAAAGGAAAACGAAAGTAATACAAATTAACGGAAATACACTGAAATAAGTCGAAATCTATAAATACTTGGGAGTGAAAATAGAGAACAGAGGAACTGAAGAAACTGAGTTCAAAAATAGAAAGTGCTGCTCGAATGTACAACGCAATTAAAAGTACGCTTTTGTCCAAAAAAAGAAGTATTCCAAAAAGACAAAGTGGCCATGTACAAGACGGTGTTTGTGCCGATTTTACCTTTTTTAAAGGATTAGAAATGAGGCAGTAAGAGAACATTTTAAGGTCCAAGTAATTATGAAGAAAATTGAAGAGGCCCAACTAGGATGGTATAGACACACGATTAAAATAAATAAAAACTACAAGTTAAATAAGGATGCCAAACAAAAAGCAAAATTAAGAGATCAAGGGACAGGCTATTGAAGACATGGGACGATAATCTAACTTCAATCCTAGAAACAAGTGGAATTAGCGAAGAACAAGCAAAAAACCAAGCAAAGAATTAGACGCAATGGAGAAAAATTGTGCATGCAACTAACTAAAGACATTACACCCTACACCTTAGGGTAAAAGGACTTAGGATTATTATATATATATATATATATATATATATATATATATATATATATATATATATAATTTATTGTTTTGGAGTATCATTTATGCGGTCTGTTATTAAAAAAAAACTCTTTTTTCTTTTATTACTCTATATTTCGCTGATTTTTGTCAGCTTCTTCAGGAGATCAATATTAAGAGTGAAAATATTTAAAAATGTTGAACATAATATATTCAAAACAGTACTGACAGTCATTATTCCACAATTAAATTTCCCTTTACCCTTCATTAAAAAAATTGTAGATGATCTTACATGTTCAGTTATTACTTCACAAATTCAGAATACCTTGAACATTTTCAATACCTTTAACAAACATATTCAATTTACGTTAGAAATTGAAAATAATTATACGATATCATTTTTGGACACCAAATTAATAGGAACTGAACAAAACAAAATATTGATAGATTGGTATCAAAAGCCAACACACTCTGGAAGATATTTAAACTTTTTCTCAAATCATCCCACTCATCAAAAGTTTAATACAGTGATTGCAATGAAGAATAGGGTAAGGCATATTAGTGATGAAAAATTCATAAACAGAAACTTAAATTTGCTTTTAAACATTTTTGAAAATAATGGATACCCAAAACATATCCATAAAAAATTAATATTTAACTCAGACATTTTTGACGGTCCCACTGATATCGAAGCAGTACAAACAATCCAATATAAAAAATTACCATTAATACAACAGTTAACACCTTCTGTGACTAGTTTATCTAAACAATTTACTAACATCAAAATTGTCCAATATAATGTATTAGAAAACCGACAACTGTTTTCTAAAGTAAAAGACAAGACACCAACTGTAAATAAAACTAATGTCATCTACAAACTGCCTTGTTTGGATTGTTAGAGCTGTTATGTTGGCCAAACTTCTCAATGGCTAAAACAACGGGTCACACAACACAAAAGTGACTGCACAAAAAAGAAGAATACATGTGCGACAGTTGACCATTACCTAAAAACTGGGCATCAATTTGACTACTCAAATGTCAGGGTTCTACAACAAGAGAACAATTACAAAAAAAGATTGTTTTTAGAAATGCGTCACGTTAATAAAGAAAAATATGCAGTTAATTATAAGGCAGATACGGGACAGTTGAGCAATATCTACTGTAATATTCTTAGTATGTTCAAATAATTTTTCTTTTTACAATTATATTTTAAATCACCCTGTATATTTTTAATGTGTAATTTTATTGTGTTTTTATTGTTTCTTGATTGTTTTTGTTTTCTATTTATTATAATTTTTTGTTATATTTTTGTTATATTTAATTACTAGTGACTAGATGCTTTTGACTAATAAAAAAAAGACTGTCAGTACTGTTTTGAATATATTATGTTTAACATTTTTAAATATTTTCACTCTTAATCTGTATCTCCTGAAGAAGCTGACAAAAATCAGCGAAATATAGAGTAATAAAAGAAAAAAGAGTTTTTTTTTAATAACAGACCGCATACCTGATACTCCAAAACAATAAATTGTTATTTACGTTTCGGTCAATAATCCTACCAATTTTGCTATATATATATATATATATATATATATATATATATATATATATATATATATATATATACTTTACTTTACTCCGTGGCGTTACAACCCTTCGTGGGTTTTAGCCGACTCGACAACATGCCTCCACTGTTTTCTATCTTGAGCAACCTCCATCCAATTCTCCACGCCCATAGTGCTTAGGTCTCCTGCTATATTATCTCGCCACCGAAGACGAGGGCGTCCGCGTGGTCTCTTTCCAGTTGGGACTTCCTCCCACACCAGTCTTACTGTTCGTTCATCAGAATGTCTTCTGAGGTGTCCTGCCCATTGGAGTCTTCTGGACTTTATTTCTTTTATGATGTTGGTGTCTGGGTAAAGTTCTTCAAGCTCTTTATTAGTTCTTATCCTATATTGTCCTGATGCTTCATCAATCACCGGCCCAAACATCTTCCTTAGGATTTTTCTTTCCCAAACACGTAGTCTCTCTTCATTTGCCTTTGTCATCGTCCACGTTTCGCTTCCATACATCACAACGGGACGTATGATTGTTTTATAGACCTGTATCTTCGTACCTCGTGTTAGTTGTTTTGATTTTATAAGGTTTTGGAGGGCAAAGATACATCTGTTGCCGGCCTGAATCCTGTTGTTTATTTCTTGTGATCCGTTATTGTCTTCAGTTATTGTTGTTCCAAGATACTTGAATTCTCTAACGCGCTCAAAGTTAAAGTTATCGATGGTAATGTTCTGACCGATTCTGTCTCTGCTTTGGTTATTGCGGCTCATATACATATATTTCGTCTTATTTTCGTTGATTTGGAGCCCCATCTTCCCTGCTTCCTTCTCAAACCTTACGAAAGTCTCCTTCATCTTTAATCGCGTGTTTCCTATTAGATCTATATCGTCTGCAAATGCCAGTAGTAAGTTTGGTCCTTCTCGATGAAATACTGTATTCGGTTTTTCGATTCTTGCACTTCTGATTATGTGCTCCAGAGCTAAGTTGAAGAGTTGTGGTGAAAGTGCATCTCCCTGTTTTAGTCCATTGTTTATTTCAAATGTCTCCGAGTATTGTTGTCCAACTCTCACCTTACATCGTAACCGTTCCATACACATTCGTATCAACCGGACTAGTTTTTTTGGAAAGCCAAGTTCCTGCATCGCTGTCCACAGTCTGTCCCTACATACTCTATCAAATGCAAATATATATATATATATATATATATATATATATATATATATATATATATATGTTCGGAAAGATTTCCGCGGTCAGTACAATGAAACCTAGAGCTAAGTATAATATTATTTCTAAAATTATTATATTATTATTCCGGGTTGAACCGCGTCGATATCCATTTTGCCGAGCTTTCGGCATCCTCTATGATGCCTTCCTCAGGGCTTCCGAGGTCTCAGTCACCCGAGCTTCCAGACACTACTACACTGTTCACTGATCACTGCGCTGTCACTACTGTGTTGTGAGCTGTTAGTTGCATCAACATGTATTATATATATATATATATATATATATATATATATATATATTTAATATAAAATTAGTATCTCTTGGGTTTAGGTTCAATAAATTATAGTACATGTGGAACTAGATTTTATTTATCAACGTGTTATTAATTAATGTCAGTATCCCGTTATACGTTTTGAATCTTGACAGAGGCAAAGGTTTCCTGTCGAAACGTTGATTTATACGGAAAATAAAATCTAGTTCCACATGTAATATAATTTATTGAACCTAATCCCAAGAAATAATAATTTTATATTAAATATAGTACAGTTCAAGAAACTCAAAACTATTACCGTACACAGAACTGTCAAATGTCAAATGTCAAAAGGACTAAGTATATATTAGGTATGCAACCAAAAAGCTATGATTAATGTGATGTGTTAAAAACGAAAATAATATCAGAAAATGTCTAAGATGTCAGACTCAATAAGTTTATTGCCCATTTGTGTTTGTCATGGTTAACCATTTTTTTTTTTTGTATACGCCAGGTTTCCACAGAAGCATAAGTTAGGGTATCCAGTGTAATCTGCTGCCATATGTCTAGTGATATCAGTTTTTTTAAATGTTCAGGAAAGTGCAATCTTATAAGTTCTTTCAGGGTGCACTTTTAAGTTGACTTTTTTGCAATCCGTTTTATCTCCTTGCAGTGGCTTCTTCTCAATTTTCTTTTTGCTCTTCTCGTTTTTTAGTTTATTCATTCAGAGCTTAATATTATTTACTCATCTGATCTTTTTAGCAAGTTGTGTCTGACTCTGTTCTTTGATTTGGATTTATATCTTGTTATAACTCTATCTCTATCTCTACTATTTCCGGACAAATGTATTTGAAAGCTGACATTACATTTCCAACTTCTGAGACATATATTTTTAAGTGCGAAATAAGTACACCTTCAAAAAACCAGCGCTTAAGCTTTGTAGGAAGCCTCGTCGATCATGTAGACCGGTTTTGGTTTTATTTTAGACGGATCGTGATAACTGCTTCATCAGCCTTTTTTTCTAGGACGCGTTTATGAACCATGTGGCGCTTGGTCATATTATTGGGATCGACTTCATTTAAATTTGCTTCCTCCTACATGCTTTCTATAGTCCTGACCACCTTGATAGTCGATTTTTTGTATACCCATTACTACAGTTTACCCATAGTGTCTCTATGCTTAACGATTTTTATGGAATTTACAGAAGTTGATTTCGATTGACGATAGGAGCTTCATCCACTACACATTACACTTTGTCGATGATCGGGTCTGCTCGAGCCTGATCTAGTTGAGTATAAGGATAGTATATGTGTGTTACGCCATTCTGAATAATTTTATGACATAGTTCTATCAGCTAGCCTGCTCGTTAGTGTTCCATGGTTTTTAACAACTCTTTTTTGCGGAGGCAAATTTTCCTTAAATCTATTTGTAGCTTGGTTTTTACTGGTAACTCCATATTGGTTTTATGTGGATTTTCTGGGGTGTATTTCCAGCAATAATTTTTACCTCTCACTTCATTCTCTCTTCATCATCCTTTTCTGATTTTTTAAATTTTTTCACGAGTTGGGACGAAATACTGTGAAATAAATTAGTGTGTCCTAACCGTGCTAAGGCTATAATCACCCACAGTTAACTACTTCCCTAGGGCATTGCTTAAATCAACAATTCCTGTAACAGGCATGACCTGGATACGACGATGCCTGTCTGTGATTTGCTCATTGAGTGTTGCATGTGGGTATATAGTATATATAAGTATGTATGTACCTTGAGATCAGTATAAAATAACATATAAACATATCTGTCACACTTCTATTTCATTTATAACTGAGATTGTTTTGAATATTCCAGTTAGGTTGGTTTGTCCATCCTGTCGTGTTTGGAAACTATCCACAAGTGATGATTGACAACATTGCCAATATAAGCAAAACTCAAGGTTTTCTCGAATCCAGACTTCCAGTTCTTACTACTGAAGATCAAATGTTGTTAAAGGGATCTTTTGATTTTATTGGACTTAATAACTATGATACGTTTTTAGTGTCAGATAATAAGAAGGTCGACATTGATCCCAGTTATATCAATGATCAAGGGGTTAATTTTACGTATTTTCCAAATTGGACTGTGGATCATTCAATTGAGGTAAGATATATTAAATAATTTGTTATTTATTCAAGAAATATTTCTCGCTTTTCGTTTGATATTTTTATTTAATGCCGTAGAGGTATAAAATTTAATAAGTGCATTAAGTTTTCTAATGGAACTTAACTAAAAATATGGAAATCATACTATCAAGAAAAATTTTACGAAACGCAAGTAAAACAAAACATATTCAGGAGGGATATACTAATAATAATTTACAAATAGTACAAGAAGAAGTGAAAGAAGCAGTAAAAACCATTAAAGTAGGAAAATGGCGGAAAAAACGGGTTTGCACCAGAAATGACAAAATGTCTATGCAAGAAAGAAATACAATGATTAAGGACTAAGCTAAATAAATCGTGGAAAAAAGAGATGATTGCCAAAAGCTGAAAAAACATTTTAATAATATCCATACTTAAAAAGGGATACTAAACAGTACGTGGAAACTATATAGCAATATGTTTCACAAAAGTATGCTTAAGCTATATAAAAAAGAAAAATAGAGAAAAAATGGTGAAATTACGTTGATTAGACGCTAAATGATATACAAGCAGCATATTAAATAAAAGCAGCCTGAAAGATAAGTAAATAATAACATTTTCGAACTGAGAATAGTAATAGTTCCGTGGGAAGTTGTCTGTCTCCTATCGAACGCATCCCCAGGTGGTGGATAGGGGAACGCCATAACCGGTCAAAGGACCGGTAGGTAGTTGGAAAATAAAAATAGCAACCGCGAACCAAAATAGACTAAGGTATGGCAACCCTAACAAAAACCTCTGGCCCTCCAGGTTGGGGTTTGAGCTAGAGGCTGACAACCTCTTCATGTAAAAAACATATGTTACGGAACCTCTCAGGAATTATTACCTGGACGGAACTCACAACGACGACTCTGCAAACAAAAAATGGAATTAAGATTAGGAAGATGGAATACCCGAACCCTGTACCGAAATGAAGCACTTACATCTTTACTAGACATACTGAACACGTACAAAGTAGATGTTTTAGCACTGCAGGAAATGCGGTGGACGGAAACTGGCACTTTTGACAAGAGAACCCATTCCATATAGTACAGCTGCAATGAAAACCAACGCATAGATGGGAAGGGATTTATTGAAAACCGAAAAACAAAAGACCTTATTATTGACTTTAGAGCCTACAGTCAGAGAATGTGCTATTTGCGCCTCAAAAGAAAATTCTTTATTTACAGTTTAACCAGTACACTTAACCTAACTGATGACTTTCCAGAAGAAATAAAAGAACAGTTCTTTGATGGCCTAGAGCAAGCCTACAGGAGATATTCCAGAAATTACATATAACAAAGACAGATAAGAAAGCATAGTCAATACAACATCAGTAGCGATAATGGATTACGACTGATAAACTTATTCGCTCGTACCTATTTTGAACACAAGAACATATATTAGGTAACCAGGACCTCTTCTGGTGGAAGAACGACGAGTCACATTGATCACATCTTAATAGATTCAAGGCATGAAACAGACGTAATAAACTGCAGAAGTTATAGAGGCGCAAACATAGACTTAGATCATTACCTAGTGAATTTAACATTGAAGGCTAGAATTTCAAATACTAGTAAAAAAAATAAAATGGATACAAAAAAATTGAATGTGCAAAAGCTAAGAGATCTGACAATTAGAGTATAGTACTTGGAAAACATTACCAACATACAGGTATAGACTCTGACTGAACCAGAATAAAAAAATACATTGAAGCAGCAACGAAATAGGAAATAGGAACAAAATTTTGTGCCTGTAGAAATCATTGGTTTGACGATAAATCCAAGAATGCAACAAAAGAAAAAAATAAAGCCTACAGAAAAATACTTACCCGACGAACTAGAACAACTGTAAAAAATTACCAGACAAAAAGAAGAAAAGAAAAGAGGATACACAAAAATAAAACGAAAGTACTAAATGAGGAACTTAATAAAGCTACTTGTACTTGGACCCCACGGGTATGGCGACAGAAACTAAAGGGGTCAAATTATAGGATTCTTTTTGAAACACAGACTATATGTTATAAACACCCATTTAAAAAAAAGCACCTACAGAAAGTGGACTTGGTAATCACCAAATGGTGATTGAACAAGAACGAAAATAACTTTATCTTTACTAACAAAAAAGACGCTATTCAAGACGTAACTGTATTAAATCAATTTTTAACCAAAAGTGACCATCCAATGGTTAAAGCGAAGGTAGTCTTGAACGTAAAGAAGGAACGAAGAAATATGGTAACAAGGACTATGAATGTTACGTTCATTGCGGTTACTAACACAAGAAATAAATAAAAGCATTAATGTTCTAAAACGAATGTTGAAGACAGGAACCAGGAAAATTTATAGGCTAAAAAATAGACAAGGACATGCTGTATACAAACAACAGGAAATTATGAAAATTATCGAAGAGTACTATAGAACATTATATCGTCGAGATGCTCATATTCCAAATGTGGAAATCCCAGCCATACAAAATCAAGGATCAGAGGAACTTCCAGATATAACCGAAGAGGAAATCGAGTCAGAGTTGAAAGGTATGAAGAGCAGCAAATCACCTAAAAAAGATGACATTGTAAATGAAATGCTAAAATTAGGAGGCAAATGCGCCATAAAAGTTTTAAAAACCCTTTATAATGCCTGCCTCTTTGAAGGAGTTACACCAGAAAAAAGATAATCCTTTTAGAGAAAGTTACAGAATACAACAAGCCATTGGCATTAATATTTGTAGACTTTAAGAAAGCGTTTGACTCAGTCCAGCATAGCTCCATGTTAAGAGCTCTTACAGAGTGCAGTATTGATGTTAGGTACACAACTCTTCTTCGGAATATATATAATAGCGCAACAGCAACATAAATGGAGAATTTCTGAACAACTTGAGATTTGCAGACGACATAGTCCTTATTGCAGATCGGGTAGATCGTGCCTACCAGCTTCTTTAAGACCTTCAAAGCTCGTGGATATGAGTTGGACTTAAAATTAATTTTTCCAAAACACAATATATGATCAAACTTGTACTGGCGAAAAACATATTAACTAACGGCACGCAAATTGAACAGGTATATAGCTATAAATATCTGGGCCACAAGATTAAATTAGGAAGAGATAATCAAACAACGGAGCTAAACAAGAGAATATAACTGGCATGGGCGGCTTAGGTCTTTAGATCAGTTATTCCGATGTGCTTGAAAAGAAAGGTCTTTAATCAATGTGTACTACTAGTTCTAACGTATGGAGCAGAAACATAGACCCGTACCAGAAAAGTAATCAATAAAATACAAGTGGCACAGAGTCTAATGGAGAGGTCAATGCTGAATATATCCTTCAGAGACAGAGTATCGAATACAATAGTTAGTAGGAAAACTGGGCAAAGGACAAAGGATTACAATGTTAAAATGGAACTGGGCGGGGCATGTTGCCAGATTAAAAGGAGGAAGATGAACGAAGAAAATTCTGGAATAGAGACCTAGACACGATGCTTATCGTAATCGAGGACGTGTTCCAACAAGGTGGTCAGATAACATCAAGCGTATTCAGCACAACTGCATTCAGGGTGCTCACAACAGAATGCATTGGAATTATTTACGGGAGGCCTATGTCCGGCAGTGAACTTAAAACGGATGATGATGATGAACATCAACAGAAAAGAATTCAAGATAACCACAAGACAATGCAGAAGTCAGAATACCGACCTATTACCAACAAGGAAATATGTATTGAATCTATGGGTGCAATACTTTAACCAGGCACTTAATATAGAGGAAGAAGAAGAAAACCTAAAAGACAAAAGAGATGAGGTAAGGAGAACAGACGAGAGGGAAGAGGAACCACCAACGATTCTTGAAGTTAAAGATGCAGTTAAAAGACTAGCCAGAAACAAATTACCCGGAATAGATAATCTCCCAGCTGAAGTATATAACGAAGGAAGCTATGATACTATAATAGCATTAAAACAGCTTATAAAAAAATATGGACACAGAAGTCCTTTCCCAATGATTGGAATATTGGAATACTTTGCACCACACACAAAAAAGGAGATACCTTTGAATACTCGGAATACACGGATAGTGGAGGAATACCAGGCTGGTTTCAGAGGTGGTAATTCGACAGTTCATCAGACTGAAACCCTAAATCATCACAGATTTATAGACTACAAATAAGCCTACGACTCTGTAAATATAAGTGAAATGTTCAAAGCAATGAAAGAGTTAGGAACACCAAACCAGTTAGAAAATTTAACAAAACTAACTCTTGAAAAAGTTAAACGTAGATTACGAATTTAGGGGGAACTATCGGAACCTTTTAAAACAAATAATAGGCTGCGTTAGGGAGACCCTCTCTCCTGTATACTGTTCAATTTGGCTCTGGAAAACGTAACACGTACGTCACAAATCACAACCACTGGTTTAATATATAATAAATCAGTACAAATCCTGACCTATTCTGATGATATCAATATTATTGGTAGAACGGAAAACGCTATACGAAAGGCCAATGCAGCATTAAAAGGATCTGCTACAAAAATGGGTTTAATATTAAACACTCACAAAACAAACTATATGAAAATAAGCACGCAACCACAAATATTACGCCCACTTGTTATAGAAAACGACGTCATCGAAGCAATGAACCGCAGAATTTGCAAGGTAAATAGATTCTATTTTGAGCTTAATCTTCTTCTTAAATTTACAATTATATCGGAAAATACAAAAATAAAACTGTACAAAATAATAATACGCCCAATACTAACATATGGTTCAGAGACCTGGACTCTAACAAAAAATAATAAAAACAGGTTAGGATGTTTCGAAAGAAAGGTACTAAGGTAAATTTATAGAGCAATGAATGACAATGGAGTGTGTAGAAGACGATACAACTTTGAACTTTATAGAATATACCAGGAATATGATATCGCAAAACATATTAAGATAGGACGTCTGAGTTGAATAGGGCATTTAATGCGGATAGAACAAAATGACCCAGCTAG